GAGAATGTAAATGGTGTGAAAACAACAGTGACTCTATCTTGGATGCTGATCTGCCTTGTTGACGTCTGATTAACCCCAGTTCAGGAATGCCTCCTGATTTCTACTTCATTTATCATCCTTAGTATAAGAACATGCACTCACTATGAATTCTGCCTTTAAATCAAACCAACCTTGATGTCACTGCACACATTATATAGGCTATGACACACATAACATTCTTGCCTGTTCTGGAGGTTATTTCGGTCTCCATAGATCATGTACCCTTTACCCCTATGGTATGTAAGTCTTGGTTTTGGAGAGTAATGGTGCAGAAATCTTCTCATCTTGCTGCCACTCAAGACCACCCTTCTGCCCATAAGTTCCCTAATAAGTCAACCTTAACTGACAAACTGGATTTGTCTGCTTTGTCCTTTGGTTTCTCTGCTCCTTCGATATTTGGGGGTTATTTTGCATATATGACCCTTTCATGGAATTAATGGTATGGCTGCTTTCAAACAGTCTTGCAGTTCCTCAATGTAGAGGCTAAATGCTAAATGTAGAGTTACCAATATTATGCAGCGATTCCATTCCTAAATATGTAACCAAGAGTAACCACTCAAAAACTTGTGCTTGAATGTTCATGGCAGCATTATTCATAAGAGTCATAACGTCTATTAACTGATGCATGGATAAACAAAATGTGCTATGTACATACAATGGAAAACTATTTGACAACAAAAAAATGAAATATGGATTCAATCTACAACATGAAAACATGTTAAGTGAAAGAAGCCAGTCACAAAGGGCTACATATTGTATGATTTCATTTTTTTTTAAATCGGAGTCTCACTGTCACCCAGGCTGGAGTGCAGTGGCACGCTCATAGCCACTGCAACCTTGACCTGCTGGGCTCAGGTGATCGTTCTTCTTCAGCCTTCCAAGTAGCTGGAATTACAGATGTGCGCCACTATGCCCAGCTAATTTTTTGATTTATTGTAAAGACGACATCTTGTCAAGTTGCCCAGGATGGTCTTGAACTCCTGGGCTCAGGCAATCCTCTCATCTCAGCCTCCCAAAGTGTACCGCTCTTTCTTGTGGCCAGTTGGCGGAATCTGTTTTTTTTTTTTTGAGTTGGAAGTTGGAGTCTCACTCTGTTGCCCAGGCTGGAGTGCAGTGGCAAGCTCACGGCCACCCCAGCATCGACCTACTAGGCTCTAACAATCCTTCCACCTCAGATTTCCAGTAGCCAGAACTACAGGCATGTGCTACCACGTCCAGCTAATTTTTTATTTATTGCAGAGACGAGGTCTTGCCAAGTTGCCCGAGTTGGTCTCAAACCAGCAGGCTCAGGCAATCCACTTGCCTCGGCCTCCCAAAATGCTAGGATTACAGGTGTGTGTCACTGTGCCCAGAATATGATTCCATTTATATGAAAGATCGAGAATAGACAAATCTATAGAGATTAGTAATCCATAGAGTAGATAAGTGGTTGCCCAGGACTGGGATGCATAGGGGTCTGGACAGGCATGGTGAAGGGCTGTTGAGCTTCTCTTTAGGGAAATAAAGTGTTCTAAATTGATTTGTTGATGGCTGCACAACAGTGTCTACATACCGAGAGGCATTGTACACTTTAAATGGGGACATTTTTATGGTATATGAATTATAACTCAATAAAGCTTAGTTTGAAAAAAAGCTAACTACAGATCACATTTAATTGATGGCATATTTATACTGCCCTGGATCTCAAAAAAAATGTACATACAGGAGTACAGGAGTGGGCAGATAAATGGCTATGGAGATAAGTACAGGGTTGTCTAGAGGATTAAGATCTGAAATCTTTGTTTAGAGACAAGGTGTCGCTCTGCTGCCCAGGCTAGAGTGCAGTGCTCTGATCACGGCTCACTGCAACCTCAAACTCCTAGGCTCCAGTGATCCTTCCACTTCAACTTCCTGAATAGCTAAGACCACAGGCATGCACCACTATGCCTGTCTTATTTAAAAATATTTATATATATTTTTTATTTTGTAGAGATGGCATCTTGCTCTGTTGCCCAGGTTGATCTCAAATCCTGGCCTCAAGCAATCCTCCCAACTCAGCCTCCCAAAGTGCTGGAATTATAGACGTGAGCCACTGGACCCAGCCTGAAATTTTTATTTTGAATTAGCTCTGTGGGTTGCTGTTAACTGAACTTGGGCTTGTGCTTATTCGCATGGCTGTGATAACTCTATTAAGACTTGTGTTGAGCCGGGCTCGGTGGCTCAGCCTGTAATTCCACGTCTTTGGGAGGCTGAGGTGAGTGGATCCCGTGGGTTCGAGACCCGCCTGGGCAGTGAGACCTCATCTCTACAGTAAATCAAAAAATCAGCCAGGCATGGTAGCGCATGCCTGTAATTCTGGCTACTCGGAAGGCTGAGGTGGAAGTATCTCCAGAGCCCAGTAGTTCGAGGCTGCAGTGACCGGGAGCGGCCACTGCACTCCAGTCTGGGTGACAGAGTGAGACTCCAACTCAAAAAAAAAAAAAAAAAAAAAAGACTTGTGTTGCCCAGTATGGTAGCCACTAGCCACATGTGACCGCTGAGACCTGAAACATGGGTAGCCCAACTGAGATGTGCTGTAATTATACAACACACATTTTGAAGACTTAGAATGAAAAAATATATATACTATTTTATTAAAATATTTTATATTGGTTGCATGTGAAATAGTATTTTGAATCTATTAAGTTAATAAAATATATTTAAAATATAAAAATAAACCCTATTCTCCAAGAATTAAAGTTTTCCTTGGGAGGTGTGGCTGTATTGATGCATAGTGTACAGGATTACAAGTGTGTGTTTGCTTCATAGAGACCCACTGGACAGCAGAGAGAAAGAAAAGAGGAAAGGGGGCACTCAGGGTGGTGTGGATGTTTCATAGGGAAACACAGGACTCAGGGTACTAAGGGGCTTCACTTACTGCCTTGCAGACTACCTGTCCCTGGGCATGACTCCCTAGGCCTGGATTCACAAAGTCAATGCCTTTGGGGGCTAGGAGTTAAGCTCTCAGTTGAAGAACCCCCTCAAGTCCACTTATGAGGTTCAGAGAGGAAGTAGTAGATGGATGGTTTCATTCTTTCTGTTTCAGAAATATATTTAGAGACATATTTCCTGTACTATACAAATTCTGAGGTGAGGGAAGTAGAAGGAGACATTGAGACTGTTGCAAGTCAGAATCCCAAAGTTCTTAGTTTAGGGAAGTTGACCTTGTTCTCTGTATAGTTTAAAAAAAAAAAAAGTTGATTACAGGACAGAATTGTGAGGGGAAGGAAGGAAAAGAGTTTTTCTTTCCAACATCCAGTTTGTAACTGAACACCATGTGATTCTAGGCTGAGGACAAGTTCAGAGAGAACTTGTCAGTTGGTATTCCTTAGCTTAGTGTGAACATTTGTTGTTTTGTTATTTATTATTGCTGTTGTTTTTCTAAAAGACAAGAGTGGCGCTATCAGAATGACTTTCTTGAACATGCTGACAACTAACCCTAGGAAAGTACTTGGATCTTATCTGAGAAAAAAGATCCCTCACATGCTTTTCGTATAGGATTTTTAAAAATCATGTTTTGGATCGGATGTGGTGGCTCAAGCTTGTAATCCCAGCACTTTGGGAGGCTGAGGTGAGAGGATTGCCTGAGCCCATGGGTTGGAGACCAGCCTGGGCAACTTGGCGAGACCTCATCTCTACAATAAATCAAAAAACTAGCCGGGCATGGTGGCGCATGCCTATAGCTCCAGCTACTTGGAAGACTGAGTGGAAAGGATCGCCTGAGCCCAGCAGGTTGACACTGGGATGGCCTTGAGCGTGCCACTGCTCTTCAACCTGGGTGACGGAGTGAGACTCCAACTCAAAAAAAAAAAAAAAATCATGTTTTGAAGAAAGTTTGAGAATATCAGTGGGAAAAAATGTCAGCACCAAATTCTCTCTAAAAACCAATTTGTCAGAAAAGACATGATTAGCATCCATTCTATAATTGGTGCTTAAATTATTTTCCTTCTTTATAAATGCATTTTAGTAAAACTTTGATCTTGACCCCTCCCTCTTTCCACTCTCAGTCACTTTTATATATTTATTTTATTTTGTTTTTTGTAGAGATGAGGTCTTGCTATGTTGCCCAGGCAGTTTTTCTGCCTTGGCCTCCCAAAGTGCTGAGATTACAGGTGTGAACCACCTTGTTGGATTTAAGTCATTTATAAAGTGGACTGATCAAAAGGCAAGAGGGAAAAAGAAAGCAAAACAGCTGAAACACACCCAGACCCACACTTCCAAATCTGCCATCACAGCCACAACAGTAAGCATTTTGAATTCAGTCAATTGTGATCTGCAGATTATGAACTCCATTCCTTTATATCATCAGTGTAGACAATCGCGAACTGACTACAGTGAAATACAGACATGATTCTATTTTACTACGGGCCTATCAGTTAACTCACGGACCCTATTCTATAGATGAATAGGGGAAAATAAGTTTACATTTAACTATGTAATGTACTTCCAATGGAATTCGGTAGGTGGCATAAAAGAGCCTTTCTGGTTTGTTTTCAACGCTAAATGTGGTTAGCAATGAAACAAGTGTTCAAGGAAGTGCTTGAATTTCCTACAGACTGCCAAACGGACCAGGCGAGCCGGCTGTCTTGGTAAGCAGCATCTTATTTTATTCTGTAAAAGAAAATAATCGAATAACTAGTTGTTGGATATAAAAATCTCAAAAATCTCTGTGACTGTGTTTCTGATATGTACATAGTTGCTATGTGGTTTGTATTAGTATTTGGTTATCAGCTGTTAGTCCTCAATCAGAGAAAGTTTGTTTCTGGAATGATACCTCATGCATCATTTGCTTTCAAGAGATACTTGTGAGTTGGGAGACAAATATTTGGGTCACAAACATCTTCTGGTTTTCTTCCAGAGCAGCTGCTAGTTGGGTTTCAGAAGGCATCTGTCTTCACCTTCTCTCTCTCTCTCCATGTTCTCTTCTCAGTGAGGGTGTTCAGGAAAATAAGATACAAGTCCATTATTCCTAGAGACACTGCAGCTGTTCAACTCCTCTGCTTTTATAGGCAGGTTTCTTTTAGTTCTTCTCTGCGCCTTTCCCACTAGCCATTCTTTCTGTTTTCTTAGACCACAGACACTGTTCCCGGGAGCTAAAAGTCAAGTGGAATTACAGCTTTTGAAAATGTTTCCCAGGCTACACCCCAGTTGGTCAGAAGACTTGGAAGAGAATGTATCTTTATAACAAACAAAAAGCAAAAGTTCACAAAATCACATAGGCAGGAAAGTTCTTGAACTGGTCCTAATCCTCTCAACCTGTGGTTAATAGTTAATCTGGTACACAGATGACTCTTAATAAATATTTGCAGGACTGAATTTACTGGACCAATCAAAGCCCTGATTTGGTGCCCCTAAAGTCTCCAAACCACGGCAATTCAAAGGTATTGATTCACTGTATCATATAATGGAAGACTAAAGCTATTATGATGAAAAGGAAAAGAAACACACCTAAAAAAGTATTTTGTACTTTTGAATTAAAGTATACTTTTTCTGTTCAATTTAGCAAATAATGATTTTATTTGGTAGTAAAATAGTTTTGAAGTTCTAATATAGATAAGCTTTAATGATGGTCATTAAGATTTTGATAAACAATGCTTTGGTCTGGGGAACTGAGCCATAGACCTTCATTGATTTAGTAAGTTTGATATATAAAATTTAAAGATCCTATGAATACCTAAAAAATCAGTTCTTCCTATGTACAATATTTTGATTTCTTAATTAAAGAAATAAAAATGACCTTATAAATTGAGTTCTTGAAATTAATGAATTTATTTATTTATTTAGAGTTGGAGTCTCACTCTGTCGCCCAGACTGGAATGCAGTGGCCACTCCTGGCTGAGCCACTGAGCCCGGTTGAAATTAATGACTTTAAATGAAAGGGCAAAGGGAGGTTGAACAGATAGAAGATCTTTGAGCTAATTAATTTAGCTAGATATAAAACTGGGGAGGCCGGGCTTGGTGGCTCAGCCTGTAATTCAGCACTTTGGGAGGCCGAGGTGAGTGTATTGTCTGAGTCCACAGGTTCGAGATCAGCCCGGGTGACTTGTGAGACCTCATCTCAATGAAATGAAATGAAATGAAATAATAAAATGCCGAGTGTGGTAGCTCACGCTTATAGTTCTGGCTGCATGAAAGGCTGAAGCAGAAGGATCACCAGAACCCAGCAGGTCCACTTTGGGGTGACTGTGAGTGTGCCTCTGCACTCTAGCCTGGGCAATGGAGTGAGACTTCAACTCAAAACAAAACAAAACGAAACAAGCAGGGCTCGGTGGCTCAGCCTGTAATCCGGCGCTTTGGGAGGCTGAGGTGAGTGGATTGCCTGAGCCCGCGGGTTCGAGACCCGCCTGGGCAACTTGGCGAGACCTCATCTCTACAATAAATAAAAAAATAAGCCGGGCGTGGTAGCACACACCTGTGGTTCCAGCTACTTGGAAGGCGGAGGCGGAAGGATCCCCGGAGCCCAGCAGGTCGAGGCTGCAGTGGCCGGGAGCGACCACTGCACTCCAGTCTGGGTGACAGAGTGAGACTCCGACTCAAAACAAAACAAAACAAAAAAAGCTGGGGTTGTGCTTTCATTAAATGCTTGGGGACCCACACTTTTATACATTCAAATCTCTTGTGGTGGTTGCTGTTGTTAAGGGAACAAGGACAACTTTCACCTTGCTTGTGGTGAGCTCTGTGAGCTAAGCAGTCACTTTTATGCCTTGTCCTTCTGGTCACTTTCTGCACACCATGCCTGACAGTGTTGATCACTGCTCCCTTGAACTATGGAGTTGGCGAGGAGGTGGAAAAGCCCCTGATTTGGATTCAGGCATAGGAATAAGTAGGACCTTAAGCCCAAACCACTTTTACTTTGACCCAGCTTGAAATAGATAGTTCTGTTTTGAAATACCAGGCAGTAATTGGGTATCATTTTCATTCCCATTGTCTTAGTCTTTGGGGGCTGCCATAACACAATATCATCAGCTGGGTTGTTAGTAAACAATAGAAATTTATTTTTTTACAGTTTTGGAGACTGGAAGTCCAAGATCAGGGTGGTAGTATGGTTGGGTTCTGGTGAGGACCTTCTTCTGGGTTGCAGATCACCACCTTCTTATATGTTTACATGGCAGAAAGTGGGCCAGAGACCTTTCTACGGCTCTTTTTATAAGGGCTCTAGTCCCACTCATGGTGACTTTACCCTCATGACTTAATTACTTTTCAAAGATCTCCCTCCTAATTCCATTACGTTGGGGGTTGAGATTTCAACATATGAATTTGGGGGGTTACAAACATTCAAGCTATAATATCCATTTAAGTGTCACTCCTTGTGTGAGTATCTCTTTCAGGAAGCTGGAGATAAAAAATTAGAAAATTGGGTGGTGGTGGGACTGGCAGTTGAGGGAAACTGCTAAGGGAAGGAGAGGTATACCTCATCAACAAGGGTACCCACATGATCAATGTTTATATATCTAACCCTGAATTGTACCCCACATCTTTATAATAAATAAGTAAATTTTAAAAAGATATATATATATGAAGAAAAAAATTAGAAAATTTTTGGGTTCTTCAGCCAAATACAATCAGTGCCATGAAAATAGCACCTTGACTTATAGCATAAACTTTAATGTCTGCATCATTTTCCTTGCTCAGGGTCTTCATGAATGCTAAGAGAGGTTACCAGCTCCTCTTCTCTGTTAGAAGAAATCAGAATGACCAAGATATCATTGGGCGTCTCTATGAAAGGGTAAGTTCAAGGAAGGTTCTAAAACATTTAAGTTTGCATAACTAACTTGTAAACAGGGGTTGTTTCTAGAAGTTACATTATTTATGTCCTTCGATGCCTGTGGAGATATGGGAGGGGAACATGTGAAGAGATATTTGGCGGTACCCTGATACCGATGGCTTGCTTGTCTGACAGATCCAGGGAGTTCTGAATAAGTTCCTTGAGAGAGCTGGGTAGCTGTGCAGCCCCAGCTATTAGGGTCTCTGGGGTGAGGAGTGCACACTCTCTAGGGTTCAATCCAACACAGCCCCCTCTGCTCTCATGTGCCCCTGGAATGGTGACCATATAATAGTGTCTGAGCTAGAATGGTTTGAATACTAGTGCAATAGCGCAACCTAGAACAATGCCTAGCACTAAACAGGGAATAAATACATACCTGATAAATGAATGAAAAAAGTATTCTGAATAAGAGAGAAGAATAAACAATCCTCATTCTCAAAACCTACTGGTGTTCACCACCCTTCATCATTCTTGGAGTAGAGTCCCAGCTCCTTGCAATGATCTACAAAGCCCTCTGTGATCTTGGCCCTGTCTCCTCTCACCTTTGCTCACTCCATGCTAACAGTGACCTCCTCATTCTCCCTCAGACAAGCCAAACTCAAGTCCATCTCAGGACCTTTGTACTTGCCTTTTCCTTTGGTGGAAATGCTCTTTCCCCAGATTTTCCCCTAGGTTACTCATTCACTTCACTCTGATGTTTTACCATACTGTCATCTCAAAAATGTCTTTCTAACTAATCACTCAAAAATAGCCACCATCAAGCACCATCCCATACCTATAATTTACTCTGCTTTATTTTTTCTGTATAGCACTTGTCACTACATGAAATTGAGTTAAGTCATTTATTTATTTTCTATATCTCCATTAGGTTATAAGCTCCTTGAAAATTAGGACTTTATCTCGTTCATTGGTCTCTCTCCAGTTCCTTAAACATGTCTGACAGGTGATCAATCAATATTGGTTGAATAAGTAAATGGATGGATGGATGAATGAATGGATGAATTTTCTGAGAGACCTGTTATTGTGATCTAATTACCTTTTGAAAGACTAATAGAACCAAATCACATATAGGTAATGAAAGATAATGCCAGAACAGTCCCAATTTCACCACATGGGAGAACTGTCAAGGAAGTCCTGGGGACATAGATACATGTCAAAGGGTGAAAGCCCACCAGGTGAATCTGAGCCAGAGTTCTAGATGATCTTAGAAGGGTTGGGACCAGAGGATTTTCCATGAACTATCTGTGTTAGTTTTCTGTGACTGTGCAAATTACCATAAATTTGTTAACTTAAAACAACATAAATGAATTGCCTCACAGTTCTGGAGACCAGAAGTCCAAATTCAAGTTGTCAGCAGGGCTGCTGGGTCACTCCAGGGCCTCGTCCAGATTCTGATGGCTATTGGTTGCCATCTTGGGACTGCATCACTCCAGACTTTGCTTTTGCCCTCATATGGTCTTCTTCTCTGTGTCTCTGTTGTCTCTTCTTTTGTCTCTGTCATGTATTCCTGTGCCTTTCTCTAAATCATTGACTTTAGAGACCACCCGAATAATTCAGGATGATCGTCCCATTTCAGTATATTTTATCATCTCTGCAAAGATCCTTTTTCCAAATAAGGTAACATTTATAGTCTCTGGGGGTTAAAATATGGTTGAGATGTAGACATAACTTTTGCCACTCTTCAACCTATTACACCACCCATATTAAAACTCATTTGATTAAAGCTAGCATAATCATTTATCAATATGTATATTTCCCTGACTGTGCAATCCAAATGAATATAGCTTTCATTTTATGAATCTTGAATAAAAAATGTTTAATGTCAGCCATGCCTAATTTAACATAATCTTTTTTTTTTTTAGAATCTGTATCTGTATCAAGATGCTCTGAAGAATAGCTTCCACCTTTAGTGCTACATAATGACTAACATCTTCCATTTTATTATTATCTTCACATTGATACTTGAGATCAGAGCCCAATTATCTTATGAAAGTGAATTTTTAGTTGACAGGTCAAATAGAGGTCTTACCAATGTTCCCAAAGACCTGCCCTTGCAAACAACAATCTTAAATACATCACAAAATTCTATATCTGAGCTTCAAACTTCTGACATCTCATCACTGGCAAAGCTGAGGACTTTGATACTTTCTTATAACAGAATTCAGCATCTCAATATCAGTGTTTTCAAATTCAACCAGAAATTGGAATACTTGGATTTGTCCCACAATGAGTTAGGCAAAATTTCTTGCTACTCTACTGTGAATTTCAAGCACTTGGACCTCTCATTTAATGCATTTGATGCCCTGCCCATATGCCAAGAGTTTGGCAATATGTCTCAACTAAAATTTCTGGGGTTGAGTGCCACACAGTTAGAAAAATCTAGGGTGTTACCCATTGCTCATTTGAATATCAGTAAGGTTTTGCTGGTCTTAGGAGACTTTTATGGGGGAAAAGAAGACCCCCAGAGCCTTCAAGACTTCAACACAGAGAGTCTGCACATTGTTTTCCCCACAAAAAAGGAATTCCATTTTATCTTGGACCTGTCAGTTAGGAGTGTAGTAAGTCTAGAGTTGTCTAATATCAAATGTGTGCTAGATGATAATGAATGTTCTTATTTCCCAAATGCTCTGACAAAACTTCAGATGAATCCAAGGTTAACAAATCTTACTTTAAACAATATCGAAACAACTTGGAATTCCTTCATTGGGATCCTCCAGTTGGTTTGGAATACAACCATTGAGTATTTCTCGATTTCAAATGTGAAACTACAGGGTCAACTGAACTCCGGAGATTTTAATTATAGTGGCACGTCCATAAAGGCCTTGTCTATACACCAAGTTGTCAGTGATGTGTTCAGTTTTCCGCAGAGTCATATTTATAAAATCTTTTCTAATATGAACATCGAATATTTCACAGTGTCTGGCACACGCATGATCCACATGCTTTGCCCATCCCAAATTAGCCCATTCCTGTATCTGGATCTTTCCAATAATCTCTTAACAGACACAGTTTTTGAAAGTTGTGGAAGCTTGACTGATTTGGAGACACTTACTTTACAAAGGAATCAATTAAAAGAACTTGCAAAAATAGTTACTATGACCAAAGAAATGAAGTCTCTCCAACAGCTGGATATTAGCCAGAATTCTGTAAGGTATAATGAAAATGGAAGAAATTGCTCTTGGACTAAAAGTTTGTTGAGATTAAATATGTCTTCAAATATACTCACCGACTCTGTTTTCAGGTGTTTACCTCCCAGGATCAAGGTACTTGATCTTCACAAAAACAGAATAAGCAGCATTCCCAAGGGTATCACCTGTCTGGAGGCTTTGCAAGAACTCAATGTTGCTTTCAATTCTTTAACCGACCTTCCTGGGTGTGGCACTTTGAGCAGCCTTTTGGTGCTGATCATTGATCATAATTCCGTTTCCCACCCATCAGTGGATTTCTTCCAGAGCTGCCAAAAGATTAGGTCCATAAAAGCAGGGAACAATCCATTCCAATGCACCTGCGAGCTAAGAGAATTTGTCAAAAATCTAGGCCAGGTATCAAGTGAAGTGCTAGAGGGCTGGCCTGATTCTTATAAGTGTGATTACCCTGAAAGCTACAAGGGAACCCCACTCAAGGACTTTCATGTGTCGCAATTGTCCTGCAACACAGCTCTGCTGATCACCACCATTGGGGCCATCGTGCTGGTGTTGGCTGTGACCGTGACTTTCCTCTGCATCTACCTGGATCTGCCCTGGTATCTCAGGATGGCGAACCAGTGGACCCAGACCCGGAGCCAGGCCAGGAACACACCCTTAGAGGAACTCCAAAAAACTCTCCAGTTTCATGCTTTTGTTTCATATAGTGGGCACGATTCTAACTGGGTGAAGAATGAATTACTACCAAACCTAGAAAAAGAAAATATACAGATTTGTCTCCATGAGAGAAACTTTGTTCCTGGCAAGAGCATTGTGGAAAACATCATCAACTGCATTGAGAAGAGTTACAAGTCCATCTTTGTTCTGTCTCCCAACTTTGTTCAGAGTGAGTGGTGCCACTATGAACTCTACTTTGCCCACCACAACCTCTTCCATGAAGGATCTAATAACTTAATCTTGATCTTGCTGGAGCCTATTCCACAGTACTCTATCCCTAGCAGCTATCACAAGCTCAAAACTCTCATGGTCCGAAGGACTTATTTGGAATGGCCCAAAGAGAAGAGTAAGCATGGACTTTTTTGGGCTAACCTAAGAGCAGCCATTAACATTAAGTTGATGGAGCAAGCAAAAAAAATAGATCACACACAGAGCTAAAAATATTCATCTTGTCAATGTTGCCGTCCTGGGAAGTTCCAACAATGACCTTATTTTGCATCAACACAAATCTAAACACAATTTTGAGTTTATGATGTAGATTAAAATGTGTACTTCCAGGCCCAAGTTCATAATTTATATGAGGTAATAAAAATTAATGAAATAATATAATTTTGATTTACACAGTTGGTTAATTTCTGACACTTGAGGGATTCACCTATATCTTTGCTATAATTGAATTCACTGAATTTATTATAAAATCAAGAGAAGCACTTGGTTGTCTTCAGTGATGTATGTTTCTGTGCACCAGGGTCAATGTTAGAAAACTCTATGATTTTATGCCTATAGCTGGTTTCTAGAAGAGATTTCTACAGCAGCCGATGCCCTCCCCATTCACACTCAGCCTTTGCCTCTACATGTAGAAGGCTGCTCATTGCTAGTGCTGGACACTCTATGCCTGGAAGATACTTTTCTGGTCATGACACCCACACAAAGGGCAAGTCAGAAGTGCCAGAAAGTTGTTCTTGGAAGCAGCTCTCACCCGGTGTCAGAAAGAGAATTGATGGATAAATACCCCAACTTTCTCACCCATTTTTTGAGAGAAAGCTGGGTGTACTTTACACTCTCTCTGAGTTCCCCAGTAGGATAAAATTTTGGTTGTCCACAGTAGAAATGGCATGATAAAATATTGTCTTGGCTTCCTTTCTATTTTTTTTCTCATTTACCCATTCCTCTGTGAGTGTTTTCTGGAATGACTTCTGAAATAAACTACTTGCAGTTGAATACTTGTCTTGAGTCTGATTTTGGAGGAACCCAAACCAAGAGTGTATTCCACTTCAGTTCAGATGGAAATTCTGAGAATAGTTTTCTGTGACTGGGGTTCTAGTTGTATGAACTAACATGCACAAAAGTCTTTGCACTTTTGATCAGAAGCAGGAATATAGTCAATATGTAGTGCATCTATACATGACAGTCCTCTCTTTGGAGGATATTAAAACAGAGCATGATCAGATAGGGGCAGTACAAGGAATGGACTAGATCTGATATTTTTCATATGCAGCAAACATCTCCTCAGTCTACCTTTTTACTCTGGCTGCCACCTCTAGGCAGGTGTACCCTGACAAGCACTTGTCATAACTGCACCATGTACGTTTCACCTTATGCTCCATGTCTTCACCGATACTACTGCATGGGAAGCCTATTCAACCATTCTGATACATGCACAAACCTGGAAGCAACAGGAATATCTAATGAGGTGATCGTTGATCACTATAGGATGGGAGTCATTAATTAAATACTCTTCTACTCTCGGGAGGAAAAAAATGAGGCCTAGTCTATGTTATTTTTCACACAGTCCCTAATGACAGTGAGCTTTATTGCCCACAATTAAATAACTCACTCTTGGATTGATTTTCCATTCTTTCTTGTTTCATTCTTCTCAGTTCTTTCACTCTTGAGCCCTGAGATTGCTTTTCCAATCAAACGACCTGCACACAAAGCTCTTGACTCAGTTTCCATTTTTTTTAGTGCAAGGGGACCCAAATAATACATGCATATACGATTTGCTTCTTGCCCTAAGGAACTTACAGTCAATCGGAGGACATTACATACAGCCAAATAATTAAAATAAAAACCAATGAAACAAAAATATGCAATGGAAAGTCAGAGATCACTTAGATTGAGTGAAGTCTTCTTTTCCATTGGGTCTTAAAGTCTTTGCTCTGGGCTACAGAGTGAGACTCTGACCCCTCCCCCCCAAAAAAAACTCATTCTGTTGCCCAGTGAGTTGGAGTGCAGTGGCATGCTCATGGTCACCCCAACATTGACCAACTGTGCTCCAACGATCCTTCCACCTCAGCCTGCCAAGTAGCTGGAACTATAGGCACACATTACCAGGCCCGGCTATTTTTTGATTTATTGTAGAGATGAGATCTTGCCAAGTTGCCCAGGCTGGTCTCAAACCCACGGGTTCAGTCAATCCACTCACTTCAGCCTCCCAAAGTGCTGGCATTACAGGCTGAGCCACTGAGTCCAGCCCCAAGATTTTTTTCTAAAAAAGACCTATAAAGTGTCATTGATTGAATTGTGTCCCCCAAAATTCATGTGTTGAAGTTCTGAATCCCAGAACCTCAGAATGTGACCTCCTTTTGAAATAAGGTTATTGAGATGTAATTAGTTAAGATGAGGTCATTAGAGTAGACTTGAATCCAGTATAATTGGTGTCTTTATTTTTTTACTTAGGGATTATTTAACAAACAAGATTTTGAGAAGAAAACTTAGATCAATCCTATATACAAGTAGCTGATCTCGTAAATGGTTTTGAGGAAACTGGTAGGAGGTTGCGACTGTATTGGTGAAGTCTCCTGCCAAAGGTTTCCAAGTTGGAAGATAAACAATTCAGGTCAAAGTAAGGATAAATATATAGCAATGAAAATAAAGATTTCACAGGTCAGAGAAAGCAATGAGCAAACATGCAAACTCTGTATCAGGTCTGGGTTTCCATTGTAACTCCATCCCTTATTTGTAGATGTCCTTGGCCAAGTTCCTTAAAGTTTCTAAGCCTAAATTTCAATATTTGTAAAATTTACCCTTCCAGTAACTAGTCAAGACCTTTAGATTTCCAGGTATGAATTTTAAAACGGTCCAATATGTCTCCAAACTACAGAGTTCATATAGCAAACTTTCCAAGTGGTTTTATTAAAGCCCTTTTGTCTAGGATTGAGGTCAGATGGGGCACAGTCCACCCATCCTTCTTGAGGGTAAGTGGAACCCATAATACATCAAAAACTGTCTCCAAAATCTTCTTCTAATTTTGTAATTCATCTCAGCCTCTTCAATCCTTTTATTGGCTAGAGGTGAGTGGTCAGCAAAGGTCACAAAACCAGTCTCACATCTCACTCAGGGTACTTCCACCAAAATTGAGACTAACATACTTCTATTTTATAGGTCTGCTGTATTAGCGACACTGCAGTGAGATGGGCATTGTATATGGTGAAAGAAGGAAGGCAGGCCGGACACGGTGGCTTAAGCCTATAATCCCAGCACTTTGGGAGGCCAAAGCAAGAGGATTGCCTGAGTCCAGGGAGTCAAGACCAGCCTAGGCAACTTGGCTGAGACGGAAGGATCACGTGAGCCCAGCAGTTCGAGACTGTAGTGGCTGTGAGCATACCACTGCCCTCCAGCCTGGCGACAGGGTGAGTCTCTGAGACTACAACTCAAAAAAAATAAAAAAATAAAAGAAAAAAGAAATAAAGCTGCTCTTATTTAATAAAAAAAGGAAGGCAAAGTAATTTGGTAATATATATCAAAAGCTTTAAAATATTCACATGCTTTGACCTGGTAATTTCACTTTTAGGACTCCATCTGAAGGAAAGAAGTTGAAATGTGAACAAATACTTATTTACAAGTTAATTGCAGGGTCATTGATAACAGGGAAAAATATGACACTCCAACTTCCCAGCAGTGGAGGAATGTGTTGTGTTTGTTTAATGACATATTTTAAAACCATTTAAAATAATGTAAAGTATAGGGTTTAGATGGTGCATTTTATGTTATGCGTTCTTTTTACTCTAATTTTCAAAAAATTGTATTCCAATTTGGAAGTATTTTGTTAACATAGAAGAATTCTTATATTACAACACAAATAAAAAAGCATAGGATGCAAAATTATATGCACAATATGGTTTCAACTATGTTAAAATGTGCATAGAAAAAATCTAGGTGAAATACGTAAAAACATTAACATTTGCTTGCATGTTTTGGTGTTCGTTTTCATACTTTTCTGTATTTGAAAAATTTACAACCAGTAAATAAGGACATGGGCTTAGGAGATCAAAACTTGATCTCCACCAGTGGACTTGCAGAGAATAAAGATTATAAAGCTGGGCTCTGATTCCAGACATGGCGGCTCCGCTGGGAGGTATGTTCTCTGGGCAGCCGCCGGGGCCCCCGCAGCCTCCGCTGAGACGCCCGGGCCAGGCTTCGCTTCTTCAGGCAGCGCCGGGCGCCCCGAGACCTTCTAGCAGCACCTTGGTGGATGAGTTGGAGTCATCTTTTGAGGTTTGCTTTGCTTCGCTGGTGAGTCAAGACTATATCAATGGCACCGATCAGGAAGAAATTCGAACTGGTGATCTGATTGAGATCAATGTGAACTTCTATTTCCAGAAACAACTCTTCAGGTGGAGATGACAAACATTCCAAGGACAAGCACAACCACTTTTAAAGCAGACCATGGAAATCACAAATTCTGATATTCTAGAGTGGAGTCTGATGAATACAGTATGTAGGTCATTAGTAACATTAAAAAATAAAAAATAAAATAAAGCTGGGCTCTGTACACAGGCATTCTAGGATTAAATCCTGGCTCAATTTCTCTGTAGCTCTGTGCCCTGCCCACAGATGAATTCCTTAACTTTGGCTAGCTTCCTTTTTCTCATGGGTATAATAATGGCACCTCTCAGTCAAGTGTGGTGGCTCACATTTGTAATTCCAGCCCTTTGGGAGACCGAGAATCACTTGAGGTAAGAGTTTGCAACCAGCCAGGGCAACAAAGAGAGAACTCGACTCTACAAAAAAAAAAAAAAAAAAAAAAAA